TCAATTGTTCCCAACCCTAGCTGTATATGGGACAGCTCTAAAATATTAATAACTGGCTCACACCACTAGTGACTCTGATGTCATTGGTCCGGGGTGTGGCCTAGGCATAAGGATTTCTAAAGTCTTCCCAGGTGATTCTAACCTGCTGTCAAGGTCAAGAAATACTGCAAAGTATTGTGGAGTAATGACTTTTGGATGCCTGACTCTTCCTCACACCTTATGCTACTTGTCTGGCTTAAGTGCTGGCCTATAGAAACATCCTCCCAAAGCTTCACTGGATCGAGTTGTAGAAAGCAGAACACTGGGATAGGATCAGAAAGCCTACATGTGAGTCCTTGATGTGTCACCTTAAAGCTGTGTGACTTTGGGCAATTCATGACTATGCCAATGATAATAACAATATGAGAGCTAGCATTTATTGTACACCGATTGTTGACTAATAATTAGAAATGGTTAACATGTCCAGTCTCCAATAACAACCCAAAGTGGGCATTATTATCCCATTTTACAGCAGAGAAAACTGAGGCCTCATCATATTGAATGACTTACCCACGTTTTTCCTTATTTGCAAAATGGGTATAATAATAACCTATCATACATAATAATGAGATGAAAAAATGTACAGGAAAGTTATCTGTAAACTAAGGCATTGCACATAAATTTAGCAAATATATAGCCATGTGGATAAAGTTTGAGATTTTGCTTCAAACAGTGTTGAGTTTCTTTCCCAGTTCTGTCTACATAATTGCAGGACAATCTTAAGAAGTTTATTTAGCATCATTTTATTGTGTTTTTAAAACCACATAATGGAAGATATCATTATCTCCTTTTGTAGGATTATCGTGGATTACAGATAATGTACTTAAAAAGCAAAGCGTAGTGCCGGGCACTATAGCTCAATAAAAGCAGCTATTGTTATTTTCAATTGTTGGTGTCTCTATAGATCAGGTAGTTCCTGCTTCCAATTTATGATTTATACCTATTGAAATCTTTTTGTGTCTTTGTTGTTAAAGTATTATTAATGTTGGAATTCTGCTTTCATCCTGGATTTTGAATCATTAGGGTTGGGTTTTGGGTTTTGTATAAAGTACACTTGAAGAACTTTTAGTTTATCTCTATATTTAAACAGAGCCTACTGTTCAGACAATCTCTTTTGAGTTAAGAGTGGACAAATGGCACATCTCCACTTTCATTGTGGCAGGACCTGAAAAGTCAGTTCACCTTGGCCACCATAATCATCATAATCCTGGTCAGAATATTCACTAGGAGCCTCAATATTTACAGACCCTGAAGGAATTTGCAGACACCGTGTCTCAGCTCCATTTTGCTTAGGAGGATACAACGATACCTAACAGTCATTACAGGGAACATTTGAGCCCTTTCTCTGTTCAGTCTCACAGTTACCTACATACCCAATCCACCTACCACAGGTCACTGAAGTTTTCTTTCAAAGATGTAAGTTTAATGATCATTTTTGTTTGATTCTTTCTTGCTTTCAGGACAAAGTCTAAACTCCCGGGCATGGTATAATAAGCCTACCTTTCCTTGAACTTACCTTATAGTCCAGTCATAGAAAACTTGTACTTCCTGAAAGATACCATACACTATTGCGTGCCCGTGTAACTTACATGCTGCTCCCTTTGCCTGGAATGTCTTTTTTTCCTTGTCTTGGCAAGTAACCAACTACTTCCCCTCTCAGCCCCAGTGCAGACTTCATCTGCTCTGTGAGGTCTCCTCTGACTCTCCGAGGCTGGACTGCATGCCCCCATGGCACCAGCACCAACCTCCAAACAAGCATATTGCCTTGGAATTGTAGGTTTACAATTCTAGAATGTGAGCCCCAATGCTATGCCTTACTTACCTTTAAACTCTGACTCTGAGAACAGTGCCTGTTCCATAACAGGGATTCGATGAATGTTTAGTGAATGAAGAAAATAAAATATCTAACCTTGTAAAACTTGCGTGCAAAGTTAGAGTAAATAGACTTTGAGTTAAGGCTTGAGGACTTTTCCTATGTATGAAGTGAATAAACTTAGTGTATTAACTTGAAGACCTTTATTTAGAATATTTGATACTTTTTGATTACTTTCTGAATCTTAACTATGCTATGGGTAGTTGATATTATTTGATAAGTGGCTTTCCAATATGGAGTACTGCAATATGCTCAAGATTCAGCATAAGGCATGCATTGTAAAAAATAAAAACACATAATTATTACCTTGAAATCTATTGGTAAATATCGTCGACAGGAGTAAGGAGCCTCCCTCCTCCTACTCACTCGGCAACTAGCTTGGACAGGTCAATTAACTTTTCTGGGCTTCAGTTGCCTACGAATGAGATTTGAAAACAATGATGTCTAAATTTTTTGCCACCTCAAACGTGCTATAATCATGTAAAACCATGCTCTGAAAAAAAGGTTAATGTGTTTTGCATTGCAGAGCTTTTTCTACCTTGGATGTTTGATTTTGACTCTATAATAAACTGAGGGTCCCTTAAAAGAAAGATCATGAATGCAGGGAGGAAGGTTCAGGTAAAGAGTGTCTTAAAACAGGAGAGAAATAGAGTCAAGGTGGAAAGTGAGATTTGTGACCCAGCCTCTCTTTTCTCCCTCTACCTTCACACTGTCCTATTTATTTTTTAGGGCAAGAGATGAAAGTAGGTTGGACTTGGAGGGGGATGGGCAAAGGGGCATCCTGCAGCTGCAGTTTCCTTTCATGTCCCCCTTAAACCCAGTGACAGGATAGAGGAAAAGCTAATTGAGGTGAGATGACTTCCCCCGCGCCTGAGGGTCCTAAGCCCTTTCATCTCCCATTTCCCTCTGAACATTTAAAACCTGCATAATGACAAACACCAAGACTACAATCCTGACAGGGCTAGGCTGAGCATTTTGTGCTCAAAAAACGTGCTTTCTAACTCTGGAGCCTGGGGGATTTGCCAGGGGAGATTGAGGACTTCATTGCCTCTCTCTTTCAGATGAAAAGGCAGCTGCTTGTGGAATTTATGTGTTGGTGGTTTGACAGACATGAAGGTGGAAGTACCTGTGATAGAGTAAGCAAATGAGAGGCCGATTTCTCCTAAAAGAGATGGGAATTGCACTCTCTAAGGAATGCAGTATGATGTGGGAGTGCCTGAGCTAGTCCTCAGAGGGCTCTAATGGGATTCTCTTCACTTTTTTTAAGCCCTGAGGCTCTGTCGTACAAGGCTATATTCTGCTGACTGAGTGTGCTGGCGAGGTGGTTAACAAGTGCTCTCTTCGTTCTTAGCAGGCAGGAGTTTTCAGTTGTTTCAGCACTGACTCACCTTTTAGCTTCTCTCCAGGATGTTTGGATTCTTGGTTGTGCTTTGTTTTGTTTTGTTTCTGATAGTTTATGTGGTAGATGAATGGAATGATTTTTGAAAACAACCTCGTGGGCTTCCAGTTTCCCCATTACATTGGCGAGTTTGTCAAGAAGAGGAGCTATTCACTCTATCAAATAAGTGACTATGGTCATTTGTAATGGTCTTCACTGCAAATAATTACCCTTAATCTCTTCACCCCAGACTGGAGAGGCACCATATGTTTGCAAGGTACTTAATTTTTGAACCTGGATTTTCTTGTACTTGGAAATGTGGTATCTTTGGACAAATGCTGTAGTAAGTAGCAGAGCCAATGGGCACATTCTCACCCTTTGGAGTACCAGTTTTCTCTGGGGGCTCCCAGGACAGGTAGGTTATCTTCCAAATGCTTTTTACATTCACATGGCCACATTCCCCCTAACTTTTACATTTTGTTTTATTTATTTGTGTTTTGAATTAGTGCTAAATTTACATGGCACAAAATGGAAAAAGTACAAGAGTATTTTGTGAAAAGTCTTTCTTCCTCTTATTCCTGTCCCTCAGCCTACCTGTCCTCTCCTTCAGAGGTAACTTACCAATGTTACTGTTTTCTTTCTGAATCCTTCGAAAGATATTCCACAGTTATACAAGCAACTATGTACACAGGATATTTTTACTCCTTTACAAACCCACATGGTAGCAGACCATACACAGCTGGACCTCTTGCTTGATTCACTTATGTGTTTCAGAGCTTTTTCTATCATCAATCCATATACAAATACCTTATTTTTTTATAGCTGCACAATATTTTGTGGCATTGATTTACCATAGTATATTTAACCAATTATGAGGTCATCCATAACTTAGAAATATGTGCACAGAAGACATCGTTGCAAGGAGCAGCATCACTGCACAGTTTCCTCTTATCTTGTTCCAGCAAGTTATATTGTATTTGTGCCTCTTCCCAAGGGCACTAAGTTTGGTGCTAAACCTCCCCATAGCTTGAAGCCTGCACACACATGCACACAAGCACACACACACACCACCTCTCTGCCACCAGACCCCTGATGCCTGGGAACCATTTTTTTTTTCTTCAGGGAGCAGTCTAGATTTCTAACCTCTTGACCTATATTATTTTATTAGTAGCACTACTTTTATAGACTTCTGGCATTATGCTCTGGGCATGGGAAAAATTTGTTCCAGCATTACTAGGCCATTTAAGACTGTGACATGTCACTGGAGTATCATGGTAAGTAATTGCCATGTTACCCTATTCCCTATCATACATGTATGTCATCAAGCAGCCCTACTGTACCCAGACATCACAGGTCACAGAGAAATCACTACAGCATCCTGGGTTGAGAACATAAATTTTAGTTCTAGGAGTTGGATCATTGTAATATCTTTTGTATTTAACAGTGGCTATTCGTTTCTTAACATAGCTCAGCATGTATAGATACTGAGTCTCCCAGGGCAGGAACTATCATCTGTCTTACTCATCTTCTTTCCTTTAATGCTTAACACAGTGCCTGGCATCTGATTAGCATTTACTATAGACTGAAAGATTTGAGTACTTGGAAGAAATATTAGAAAGATAAATCAATTTGAATTTTATGTAAGATCCTTATATATGTTAGGATTTGATTAGAGAAGCAAAACTATAAGCAATTATATAAAGGATTTATTACAAGAATTTGACTTACGTAATTAAGAAAGCTTAATTTTTGTATGATGGTTGCTTCTGCACCTGGTGCTGGGTCTGACATCAGCAGGACAGGTAACTGGGAAGGAAAGATGGACGAAAAGTAAGAAAAAGTAGGGACGGACTAGAACCCATGAGGACAAGCCAGGATGCGTGCCAGTCTCAAACTTCTCTCAAGCCTCCAACTTCAATGATGCAGTGACACGAAGGAGAATTCAATGCCCTTCCTCATAATGCTGAATATGGATTTGATGTGGGAGTCAGAGAAGTTAAGGGAAAGACATACTTGTAGTTGGAGGAAAGATAGATCTGACATTTGCCCCCAGAAGCGGCATAAAGTAGTCCAGGATTTGGAGAAGCTCTAGAAGATCTGGCAGGAACTGGAGGAGGTCTGGAACCAGCTGTTGCCCTACACCAACAGGGTGAGTCAGCAGATCAGTGACAATGTGTGGGAACTGCAACATCACCATGTGCCCTTCACTGTCCTTTCAAGTGTAAAAAAGAATATGGACACTGCTTTACCTCCACTGTGCAAATCTTACCCAAAATGTCTCTTGTGACCTATGTGAACTAAAAAGTAGGAGAGAAGGGAATTCTGGGAAACATAGTTCCAGGTTAGCTAAGTTGACACAGAATAAATCCACCATCAACAGGGTTTGCTTTCTTTTGATATCACCCCAAATCGGGTTATCTAAAAGTAAGCATTCACAAACTAAACTAACCTCCCAATTTAATCTTCAATATCTATAGGAAGGCAAAGAAGAATACTATATCTTTCTATTGTTCCCCCAAAATAGTATTTTTATCCTCATGGGAAACCTGTGGTTTTACTGGGAATATGACAAACACCTTCCCTGGAAGAATCTACTTTACAAAGGCAAAATTATTCACCTCCAGATATCATAGAGCTTAGTTCAAACAGGAAAAAAAAGTCTTGTTTTTCCAGCAGCAGTTTCTTCTGAGTTCAGTATTTTTTTCCCAGCCCACTCAAAGTTAAAAAAAAATATTGTGCATACAAGTTCTTTTTTCTTCTTCTTGAATTTACTTTCATTTTATTCTTAAATTTGCTAAAAAGCAGTAAAACAACCTGATAGTAGATCTCAGAGAATCTAGTAATGCTTAGACCAGCCTGACCAACATCGTGAAACCCCGTCTCTACTAAAAACACAAAAATGATCTGGGCATGGTGGCATGCACCTGTAATCCCAACTACTCAGGAGGCTGAGGCAGGAGAATCGCTTGAACCCAGGAGGCGGAGGTTGCAGTGAGCCGAGATAACACTACTGCTCTCCAGCCTGGGCGACAGAGCGAGACGCTGTCTCAAAAAATAATAAAAATAAAATAAAATAAAATAAAAGGAGATATTTTCAGCTTATTCCAAAGTTGCTCAGTTCTATTCAGACACTGTGGTAGGGTGCACAATTGGTACTAATTTTTCACTTCTTTTTGTATTTCCACCTTTGTTGTGGGACTTGTGACTTTGCAGGTCCTCTAATTACAGGGACCAATTCTATTTCCTCACCAGTTGACTTTGGGCTTGGCTGTGTGACTTGATTTGGCCAATAGCATATTGGCAGAAACAAGAGTAACCAGTTGTGAGCTGAGGCCCTAAGGGGCCTTGTGTCTTTTGCCTGCCCTCTTGTACTTCTGCCATCCCCTGAGAAAGGCTTCTCCTGGGTAGTGTGGCCCCTCAGCTGAAACCACAGAGGAGGTAAACAGGACAGAGCTTTTCCAAATGACCTGAAGATCTGTGAGAATAAATGTCTGTTGTTTAAAGCCAAATGATTTGGGGTGTGGCTTGTTATGTAGCATTTTTGTGGAAATACCTGCTTGAGTTATCTTTTGCTATGTAACATCACCCTCAAAAATAAAATAAAATAAACATACTTAGTGGCTTGCAACAACAATCATTTATTTGCACACAGATCTGGGATTTGGGCAGAGCTTGGCAGGGAAGGCTCCTCTCTTCCACATGGGGCAGCTTGAAGGAATCTGGAATACTCACTTCCGAGAAGGCTCACTTGTGACTGGCAAGTTGGTGCTGGCTTCCAGCTTGAGCTCACTGGGGACCTCTCCACATGTACCTCTCCTTGGCTTTCCCACACATGGTGACTGGGTTCCAAGAATGAGCATGTTAAGAGACAGAAAGTAGAAACTGCCAATTTCTTAAGTCTTGGACCCAGAAACAGGCTCGGCCTCACTTCTGCCATATTTTATCAGTCCAGAATCCTCAGAGCCCATAGTCAAGGGCAGAGGATACAGAACTTCCTTTGTGAGGAATGTCAAATAATTTGGGGGCCGGGTTCTAAAACTGCTACAATATTTAACCAATATAGACACCTTGAAGCTTAAACCCTTCTACCAGAAAGGGAAAATAAATCTCTGGGGGTAAGAAACAAAAAGGGAGGAGTAAGAAACACAGAAAAGGCACGTGAGAAATACCACCCATTTCACGCTCGTCTTCTTAGATGTTTCCAAGCTTCTACTCTAGGAACAAAGCAAAAGAAGAGACCAATATTTGTGCGGTCCACTTGGCAATCAGAAGCATTTTTTTTAAACTTTCTACTTGAGGATTTTGAGTAGGAAGTTGAAAAAATAAAATCTGGGTCACTGTGGTGTCATGGATAGAAAAATCATTTTATTCAGGTGATCTGGCTCTGCCCCGATTCTGTACTACCTTCCTATGACCTCTGGCACTGGCATGTTATTTAACCTCTCTGGATCTCAGGTCTTTCATCTGTAAATGGAGTGAACAGGGTGGTATTTGAGGTTTCTTCCTGTTCTGACACTCTGTAAATCATTGTCATTTTCTTTATGACTCTGACATCTAAATGATGGCCTGGACTTTCTATATTTAACTTTTCAGAATCTATTTTTTGCTGCATGTCCTTGATAATGAATGGGATTCCTTAGTAAAACTAAACCTTAAGGTCTGAGCAATAATGAGCTTCAGAATAATGATTGCCAGGCTGAGTGGGACAGCCACACTAGAGGCTGAGTACTCACTTCTCCTTGTAATTAGAATGAAATGAAAACACCTTTTTTCCTCCACTTTAGAATGGAAAGGAAGACTAATATTTTCAGAGGGAAGTTTACCAAAAGCTAAGAAAACGAAACAGAAATAATTGCCCCAAAATAAGTAGTATAAAATATTCATATCTAAAATACAGGCAATAAAAACAATAAAACAGTTTTCCTGTGCTAAAATCTCCTTACGCTAAATAGCTATCTCCTGTCCCTGTGGTGCTGTGGATTAGAAGTGATAAAACGCGGGTTCAAATCCCAGCTCTGCTATTTAAAACTTTTACCTGGGCTAAGTTCCCTAAGCATATTGAACCTTAATTTCTTCATCTCTAAAATGAGAATAATCATATAAAAATTAGATAATCATATCTATTGCTCACCGTTGTTGATAGGATTAAATTAGATAATATAGGCAAAATAACAGGCTCATAGAAGGTTGGCTTAGCTTGGGATCTCTGAAAAGCAGACCCCAAAACAAGGATTCCAGTGTACATGGTTTTCGAGGAGGTTCAGAGAACACATCCAGGGAAGTAGGGAAGTGAGGGAAGAAAAGGCAGCCAATAAGGGGCATGATTATTAAGACTGCTGCCAGAGTGACTGAAGTTTAATCCTCTGGGAAAACTCTAAGAACTGGTATAAAATACATGCTTCAGATAACTCCACTCAGTAATAAACAAGGCTTGGGTATTTATACATTCACTTCTGTCAGTCATTGATTGAGGGCTACTTTTGAGGTTGAGAATTCCCCAGCGCTTATGGCCTGCTGTGGGAGAGTACTGGTGGTCCTCCGGCAAAATCCCTCAGGCATGAAGACAAGAATACTGGCAGGTGGAAGTTGTTCAGAGCATATTAATATGTAAGGTCTCAGGAGCATGGACAGTGCACGGATATTATCTGTTGCAAAAGTAATTACCAAATCTTCATTCCTAATACAGATTGGTGGCACCAAACTGGATTTCCTTTTCTGCAGACACTTAATTGTGCTTTCTGATCAGAGAGACACTTCTGTTTCACTACTTAAAAGATAACAGTGGGGGGGCCACAGAAAATCAAACCTAACCATCAGAGAATACTATAAACACCTCTACGCAAATAAACTGGAAAATCTAGAAGAAATGCAGATAATTTCTCTGGCACTTACACTCTTCCAAGACTAAACCAGGAAAGAAGTTGAATCCCTGAATAGACCTAATAGCAGCTCTGAAATTGAGGCAACAATTTAATAGCCTACCACCAAAAAAAGTCCCAGGACCAGATGGAGTTCACCCAGCTGAATTCCACCAGAGGTACAAGGAGGAGTTGTACCATTCCTTCTGAAACTATTCCATCAATAGAAAAAGAGGGAATCCTCCCTAACTCATTTTATGAGCCAACGTCATTCCTGATACCAAAGCCTGGGCAGAGACCACAACAAAAAAGAGCAATTTTAGACCAATATCCCTGATAACATCGATGCAAAATCCTCAATAAAATACTGGCAAAACCGGTTCGCAACACATCAAAAAGCTTATCACCATGATCTAAGTGGGCTTCATCCTGGGGATGCAAAGGCTGGTTCAACCATCGCAAATCAATAAACATAATCCCAGCATATATAACAGAACCAAAGACAAGAAACCACATGATTATGCTAATAGATAGCAAGAAAAGGCTTTTGACAAATTAAAACAGCCCTTCCATGCTAAAAACTCCAATAAATTCCGTATTGATGGAATGTTTACCTCCAAAATAATAAGAGCTATTATGACAAACCCACAGCCAATATCATACTGAATGGGCAAGAAACTGGAAAAATTCCCCCTTTGAAAACTGGCACAAGACAGGGATGCCTCTCTCACCACTCCTAGTTCAACATAGTGTTGGAAGTTCTTGCTAGGGCAATTAGCAAGAGAAAGAAATCAAGGTATTCCAGTTAGGAAAAGAAGAAGTCAAATTGTCCCTGTTTGCAGATGACAATGATTGTTATTTACGAAAACCCATTGTCTAGCCCAAATCTCCTAAGCTGATAGCAACTCAGCAAAGTCTCAGGGATACAAAATTAATGGAGCAAAAATC